CACCTTTGGGCTCCCCCGGGGCAGGCGGGCGGCGAGGGAGCACTTTCCCCTGAGTGCTCTGCTCAGCTCCCTTGTGCGACCCGCAGTAATTCTCATTTCTGGGCTACCACTGTCTCAAAGGCAACATAACCAATCTGACAAATTTCAATGTGAAAAAACTGAAATGCAAGCCTTATATTTGACTCCGTAACATTTGAAAACACCATAAAACCTTTACATGGGGATACTGTTATACTTGGGAGCAGGCCCGGACTGGCCATCGGGCACACCGGGCAAATGCCCGGTGGGCCGCGGTGGCTATGGGCCAAGGCCGGCAGGGGAGGTCCCAGGATCTCCCCTGCCGGTCTATGCAGGGCCGGCACTCTCCCAGCGCCGGCCCCGCTTTGTGCCACGACGGGCCGGTGGGGAGATCAAGGATCTCCCTGACCGGCCCACATGCGGCCGCCGGCGGGGAGGGAGGGAGACAGCCAGCCAGGCTGGAGAGAGGACTCGGCGGAGCTCTAACTTGCAGCTCCGCCGGGTTCCTCTCGCGAGATCTGGCGCGTTGCCATGGCAACGGCCGGATCTCGCGAGAGTGAACTCTAGCCTCACAGGCTAGAGTTCACTCACCCACGAGGACCACCAGGGAACACTGTCTCCCGGCCTCCCAGGCACCAGCATGCCGGTCCCCCCCCTCCCAGGCTAAAGGTAAGAAGGGAGGGGGGGACATAATGACTGTTTGTTTTTGTTTTATTTACCCCCCCTACACACACACACAATAACATTTATACAGCACTCTCACACCCATCACACACAGCACTCTCTCACACCCATCACACACAGCACTCTCTCACACCCATCACACACAGCACTCATCTCACACAGCACTCTCACACCCATCTCACACAGCACTCTCACACCCATCACATACAGCACTCTCTCACACAGCACTCTCTCACCCATCACACACAGCACTTTCACACCCATCTCACACAGCACTCTCACACCCATCACATACAGCACTCTCTCACACAGCACTCTCTCACACAGCACTCTCTCACCCATCACACACAGCACTCTCACACCCATCACACTCACAGCACTCTCACACCCATCACACACACAGCACTCTCACACACACACGGCACTCTCACACACAGCACCCCTCACACACACCGCACCCCTCACACACACCGCACCCCTCACACACACACATACTGCACCCCTCACATACACACAGAACCCCCCCAACACACTGCACCACACACATACACAATACTTCCAAATATATATATATATATACACACACACACACACACACACTACACTCTTAAAGGACCACTCTAGCCACCCAGACCACTTCAGCTTAATGAAGTGGTCTTGGTGCCAGGTCCTTCTAGGGTTAACCCATTGTTTTATAAACATAGCAGTTTCAGAGAAACTGCTATGTTTATCAATGGGTTAAGCCTTCCCCCAAAGCCTCTAGCAGCTGTCTCATTGACAGCCGCTAGAGGCGCTTGCGTGCTTTTCACTGTGAAAATCACAGTGAGAGCACGCAAGCGTCCATAGGGAAGCATTATAAATGCTTTCCTATGCGACCGGCTGAATGCGCGCGCAGCTCTTGCCGCGCATGCGCATTCAGCCGACGGGGCGGATCGGAGGAGGAGAGCTCCCCGCCCGGCGCTGGAAAAAGGTAAGTTTTAACCCCTTTCCAGAGCCGGGCGGGAGGGGGTCCCTGAGCCACATATGCATTACATTACACCACAAACACAACACGACTAAAACTGACCTTATTACACAATACCACACCACGACCAGCTCACTCTACACACACGCAATACCACAAGCAGGCTCCAAACACATACACAATACTCTTTCCTGGCCTTTTGTCTCCTGGTATCCATTTATAAAGACACCAGAGACAAGTTGCAAGGAAACACAGTGCAAGCATGTTATTAAATTTGCTTGCACTGTGCATAACAAATACAGGACTTTTTTCTCATGCTAGAGCTCTTCAGCAGAGCTCTGCGCATGGTCTGCCCTGGAAGAGCATTGAACCAACATGCTCACTTTGAGAGGAGGCGTGTTTGTCATTGGTGATGACAAAACACACCTCCTCTGCCCCGCCCCCTTTTTAGTGGGCCGCTGTGTTAAAAAAATGCCCGGGCCGAATTTTTCTCCCAGTCCGGCCCTGCTTGGGAGACTTCGTTGAACACAAATATTAGTGTTTCAAAACAGTAAAACGTTTCACAACAATGATATCGTCAGTGAAAATGCAAAAATAGTTCAATATTACATATTAAAATACACTTAGAGACATAGTGTATGTGTATATAGTTAGATCATATATAAATACATATGTGTTAAGGCCATTTAGCCTGTATTTGTGGGAGGGGCTTAAATTAATTCACTCCCGTATATAACGTCATATTCCGGCTCCCTGCATCACTCTGCGGCACGCGAGGGAGCTGAGCAGAGCGCTCAGTGGAAAGTGCTCCCTCGCTAAAAACCTAGAGCACCAGCCTGCCTGCCTGCCTACCTGCACATTTGTCCACCTCCCTGCCCAGCAAACCCACTGGACCCCAGGTGAGAAGTCCACCCAGCTATCCCAAAAGTAGGGAGGCTGGGTGGATTTCAGTTAAAAAAATATATATATTAATAGTAGTGAGTGGGGGAAATGTGTATGTGTGAGTGTGTGTCAGTGAATGTGAGTGATTGTGTGTCAGTGAATGTGAGTGTGTGTCATTGAATGTGGGTGTGTGTGCGTCAGTGAATGTGAGTGTGCGTCAGTGAATGTGAGTGTGTGTCAGTGAATTTGAGTGAGTGTGTATCTGTCAGTGAGTGTGTGTGTCAGTGAATTTGAGTGCGTGTGTATCTGTCAGTGAGTGTGTATGTCAGTGAATGTGTGTGTGTGTCGGTCAGTCTGTGTGTGCGTCTGTCAGTGAGTGCGTGCGTCTGTCAGTGTGAGTGTGTGTCCGAGTAAGTGTATGTCTGCCTATCAGTGTGTCAAATCAGTGAGTGTGTATATGTCATGGTTTGTCAGTGTATATGACAGTGTGTGTCTGTCAATGAGTGTATGCATCTATCAGTGAATGTGTGCGTTTGTCAGTGAATGAGCGTCTGTCAGTCAAAGTGCGGCCTTGACAGGAAGGGGTGGGGAAAATTTTAATTGGGGCGGGGGGCAAATCCTAAATACACCACTGAAACCACCACAAAGTATGACACACTGACTTAAGGTATGTATTCTGAATCATTTTCAGCATTAAAATTGTGATTCTGATCTTCAGTTAATTGCAGCTATTAAATCAATGTGTCTATAAGTATTGCACATCTCTCTGCAGGGCCAGACTGAGGAAAAAAAACAGCCCTGGAAATAATCGCATACCAGCCCAACAGCATAAAATTTAATACACTGCCCCCCTATTCCCTATTCAATGCACTGCCCCCTCCCCACAATTTAATATACTGTACTACCGCTCATTTTCCCTTACCTCAAGATGAGCTGTCCACCAGTTCCAACCCAGCTTGCGAGTAGGAGGAGTGGCTGGCCTGATCTGCAGATATCCAGCCATTCTATGCACTAAAGCACAGAATGGCTGGCTGTTCATATCCGGCAAATACTTTATGCTCTTGCTCGCAAATGCACCCAGGAGCGTAGACTGTGATTCTGATCTTCCAGGAGGCTGATCGCAGCACACAGAAATCTATTTTATTTCTGTGTGCTAAATTATTTCCAGGAGGCTCATCGCAGCACACAGAAATCTCCCGGTGACAGCTAGGTGTAGTCACCCCACAGGTGCCTTACAACAGGGGAATTGATCCTGGGTCCTTCTGTATCCTAAGCCTGCTTTCCTGTCTCCGAGCCATTTCTGAACTTATGGTTCTAGCCCTGTTTTCCTGTGACTGCTCCAGTCTCTCAGTCCACCTGAAGCAGATGCCTAATCAGCCAGGTATAAAACGCTGCCTCTCTCTGAGTGCAGTGTCAGTTCATTGACTCTGGTTCCTGTGTTGGTGTTCTCCAGTTGGCTCCTGACCTTGGCTTATTCTTATCGTGTGTCCTGACTTCTGGTACCCTCTGACTTTTGGCTTACCCTCGACAATTCTCCTGCTTGTGTCCTTGCCTGTACTGTGACCTGCACAGCCCCGTGCACAGAGTCACAGGCCAGGTGAATTCTTACCTGACCACCTTGGCCTGTGTCTATTTGCAAGGGTGAGCACATATCTCTGCATACCGGACTCTACATCAGGTAAGATCATGACCTTTGAAACCTTGCCTGACTACTCTCCTGGATTTGCCCTTGTCTGTTTGCTCGTACCCGGTTATTGTTCCTGCCAAGCCCCTGTGTACAGATTCACAGCCCAGGTGGCTTTTTATCTGGTTACATCTCTGCACTATGGACTCCAACCAAGGTAAGCCCTTACACCCGGTAGGCCACCCGGTAAGGTTTTAAGTAAATGAGAAGTTTGTAAGTCGTAGATGAAGATAAAAAGGACATTAAGTTGCCTTGGAAATTTTTCCCTTACCGAAGCATACCTTGATCGGAAAATTGCTGGGAACCACTTGTTTAGAGACTGAAGTGTCATTTTACTGTAAAATGGATGTATGGAGCCATCTAGTGGTCAGTTTGTGACATGACAATGATTGGTAGAGATACACTAATCAGCCACAACATTGAAACCAACCACCTGCCTAATATCATGTATGGCCCCCCCGCCAGTTGCCCAGACAGCTCTGATGCATTGAGGCATGAACTACACAAGCACTCTGGACGTGTCTTGTAGTATCTGGCACCTAGACACTATCAGCAGATCCTTTAAGTCCTGAAAGTTGCGTGATGTGGCCTTCATGGATTGGATTTATTGTCCCAGCACATCCCACAGATATTCAATCGGATTGAGAGCTGGGGGATTTTGGGGCCAAGAATACACTTTGAACTCTTTGTCATGTTTCTCAAACCATTCCTGAATTTTTTTTGCGGTGTGGCAGGGGGAATTATCTTGCTGAAAGAGGCCACCAGTACCAGGAAACACCATTGTCATGAAGGGGTGTACAGCATCTGCAACATTCTCTAGGTAGGTGGTACTTGTCAAAGTGACATCCACATAAATGCCAGGACCCAAGGTTGCCCGGCAGAACATTGCCCAGAGCATAGTGCATCTCGCTGCCATCTCTTCATGCACCCAGATACCTGCTTGTTCTGAAAGAAAACCTTATTCATCAAACCAGACAATCTTCTTTCATTGCTTCACAGTCGCTCACGTCCCTATTGAAGGTGCTTTTGCCTGTGGACATCATGGGCACTCTGATCAGTCTATAGCTACACAGCAAACTGTGATGTACTGTGTGTTCTGACATCTTTCTGTCATGGTCGGCATTAAAGGGACACTCCACTACCCGAATTCAAAATAAATAAAAATAGTAGATACACCACAAATAAAAAAAACTTGGATGCATTTCATTATTATTATTATCATTTTTATGTTGTGGGGGGGGTGGTACATCTAAGATCAGCTTAACACAAACTGCAGATCTCTTGTCTGCAGCCTTTGCAAACCCTCCCCTTCTAACCCCGCCCAGACTTTCTGGGGCTGTCCAATCACAGACTTCACAAAGCTGCTCTTTGCAAGGCACTGGGCTATTGCTGCCTATTCAGTTTCTCCTCTAAGCTAACTAAACCAGGATGTAACAGGACCGGCAGCCAAGGTGGGGGGGGGGGTAATTAACCAGGTAGTTTATAAAATTGTCAGTTTCTATTGAAATCTGCACTTTTTGCTAAAAAAAGGACACACCCATAAAGCCATAAAGCTTTTCAGCAAACTGTTGTGTTTGAGGAGTCTGGAGTGTCCCCTTAAGTTTTTCAGCTATTTGAACTACAGTAGTAGCACACTAACAACACTGGATAGAAGGGAGACAGTGGATTCATGTTCAGCTCTGGATATACCTACAGAATGCAGAATTACAATGGCTGGCAACAGATGGTCTGGGAAGTCCAACCATATGCACATGCCCTTCTCTAGGATGTTTACAGCTCACCTTCCCAAGTTTGTACTTTTAAAACATTTTTTTTTAATGAAGCCTGTAGTTTACAAGACTCAGTCTACTGACTAGAGGTGCAAAACCACTACGAATCACAGACTAACCTGATATGGGCCAAAATGACATAATCTTGACATAAGGCCAGTTAGCCCTGACTCTATTGTAAGTAATGAAATATGTATACAATTACCCCCTTCTGGACAGTTGGCATGGCATGGTAGGAAATCCTAAGGATTGTCTAGAGACACAATCTGCATATATTAAATTAGTATGTGGACCTATTTAGAAAGTGTAATAACATTAATTTATTACACTTCACTTCCTTCCATACTTATGGTTCAAAACAGCTCAGGCTGTTTGGGGGTGTTGGTTTTTTGTCTGGTTCGATTTGTTTCGGTAGTTTTTCGCAGTTTAGCCGTCGGGTGTAGTCTCACTTTTGGTCCCTGAGGATCAGTCTCCACTTACACGTTATCAATTTGCATCTGTTCTTCGCAGTGCGTTTATAGTGTATAGTCAGGACCCAGTGGGCTTTTCGTGTCATTCATTCCGGATGAGGACGGCAACTGAAGACAGCGTGTTGGGTTATTCTGCATTGTCAGTTCTGCACTTGGGTAGATGGGTGTCGGGATGGTACCAGTTGTACGTCCACCCTCATTTGTTATTTCTTTGTTCCTTTTAGGGTTGACCCATTACCTGTGGATTATGGGACACTCGTTTATTTTTAGGTCAGCTCGGCGGGCGGAGGCATGCTCGTATGGTTTTTCTTTTTTGAGCTAGCGCGAGTTCGTTGGAGGAGTGATTGAGGGTTTTAATGGAGGTTTATCAGGTTTTAACAGGTTTGTGTGGGGGTTGATTACTGTTCTTATCCATGCAGGGGGAAATGATTTGGAGATGGTCTGGACCGTGGAGTTGATTCACTCTGTAAAGCATGATTGGCTCGTTACCTTGCTCTGTTTTTGGAGTGTATGCTCATATGGTCCGAAATTGTCCCTCTGCCTTGTTGGCAAAAATTGCCTCATGCCAAAGTCTTGGAACGAAGTAGAAACAAATTTTAATATGACCTTTGTCACGGCAAGGGTGCATCATTTATTATTACACTATGGAATATTATCCTTTAATGTAATTTGTGTAGTAAATGGCACAAATTACAGAGATGCTATTGTTGAGGTCAAAAGGGGTTACATCTTTTGAAGCTGGGACCCCCACAGAGGTCAGATGACAGAAGGGGTAGTGTGAATGGGATAGCAATGTGAAAAGGATTTTACTATATGGATGTGAAGTAATCAAGGCTCTGCAAGGTGTGAGGTTCTACACTTGAAAAAAGTCTGAATGTCTCTTCAACCATTTGGCATGTACCTTGTAAGATATAGTTCAATCTTTTGATATGGTAATGGTATTAGTGGTATTAGTTTCATGAAGACCCTTGTGTTCCATATCATATCCAAGAGAAACATTAATACTTACCCACAGCTTAATAATTAAGCCTTATTTTTATTATATTTGGAATGGGAAAAGCCCAATCTTAATTAAGTCTAAATGTGAGTTGCACAACTTAAACCCCGTGGCAGGAATTGTGATGTCTGTCCTATTGGATCGCGGGTGGGGCGTATAACATATGTATAGAATGGGAAAATAATAACAAATTCATAGAGGCAATTATTATTTCTGTGGCGGGTACATAAGAGAAGATAGAAAAAAATATTTCCATTTGGATTGATGTGGGTCTGGACACAAGGAGGTGGTCACTTAGTATCTCTATAGATACGCCTTAACACCACCTCTGGCTGAGGCGTGGTAATCCACAGGGTATATATCCAATGATACTGAAGGGTGCTAGTGTACTTGCTTGGGGCCAAGATCTAATTTTGAGTGAGTCACCATCTTTCCTTGCTAGAGACCCCCTGGACAGAAGTTGTACTTTGAAAACCTAAGTAAGTAATTAGGACTTCTGCATTTTATCCTTTTTGTTTTTATCTGTTGTTGGTGTAAATAATTTGTTTATCATGAATTGTTATATGCACTGTGACTATTTTTTGCTCGTAATAAACATTAATTTATTAAGTTATGCCTTTGTCTGGTTAAGAATCACGTTACCTGAAGAGACTAGTTAGTATTTTTGTAATTCCTTAAATATTATGCTAAGTAATATTTTATGGGTTTTATTATTGATTTACCTAGGGGACCAAGGCACCCCATTTATAAATTGTCTTGGTGGTGGCAGCGTTAAAATAGTAATAGTTATATTATTATGTTTAAAGGGACACTATAGTCACCAGTTAGCTTCATGAAGCAGTTTTGGTGTATAGAACATGCCACTGCAGCCTCACTGCTCAATCCTCTGCCATTTAGGAGTTAAATCCCTTTGTTTATGAACCCTAGTCACACCTCCCTGCATGTGACTTGCACAGCCTTCCATAAACACTTCCTGTAAAGAGATCCCTATTTAGGCTTTCTTTATTGCAAGTTCTGTTTAATTAAGATTTTCTTATCCCCTGCTATGTTAATAGCTTGCTAGACCCTGCAAGAGCCTCCTGTATGTGATTAAAGTTCAATTTAGAGATTGAGATACAATTATTTAAGGTAAATTATATCTGTTTGAAAGTAAAACCAGTTTTTTCTTCATGCAGGCCCTGTCAATCATAGCCAGGGGAGGTGTGGCTAGGGCTGCATAAACAGAAACAAAGCGATTTAACTCCTAAATGACAGTGAATTGAGCAGTGAAATTGCAGGGGAATGATCTATACACTAAAACGGCTTTATTTAGCTAAAGTAATTTAGGTGACTATAGTGTTCCTTTACGTGTGGGTGGTGTTAAAGGGGGATTTTGTCATTGCTTCCGGTCTAGTGCAGACAAATAGTGAACTTTAACCCTTTCACCACCACAACTACATCACGCACACTCTTGGAGTAGGGTGTGTTCATGACAACCTTTTTCAGATTTGTTCACATAAAACCTCTTTCATTCCCTTGCTGGTTCGTCTATTTAGTCACCTAAAAACTCTTCCATTTCCTTGCTGGAAAATGGCACTTCGGATACAGTTGAAGTTTCAAAGTAGTCGAACACGTGGCGGCGGCCATCTTATTTAGTCGAACATGTTCAGCTGTGTTTTGTCGTTGAGTTCATGGAACTCAAATCAGATACACGACGGCATGAACACCGCTGAACAGTTACTTTCCAGAGAAATTTGACTATTCATTCATATAGTCGAATGACGTTCGGGGAATTGAAGCCCATGAAAAAGAGACACACTTTAACTATGGCCATTCACCATTCCATTCGGTAATTCGATTGTTTTAAATAGACCCGCCGCACAGCCTAATTCTCTGGAACTGTTTTGGGCATGAAATCCTGTGTTCGCCTGGGCAAAACTATGACTTCCATATAATTTCTGAACCCCTGATCTGGGTGATTTTTGGATATGTTGGTCAGATCAGGGGATGTAAGATGGGGATATGTTGTGTTTTGGGGTACTTATTGGACTTTCTAAATATATGGTGTTTTTTCTGCTGTGGATAATTAAGTTAATGCATTAACTACCTTTAATTATATCACAGGCAGAGGGGAGGGATTGTGTGCTGTATGTGGGAATGTCTGACATTGTTATATCATTCTTATTGGTCTGTACAGTTTGTTCTGCAGTGCTCCATCAGGTCCAGGGGTGTGCCTCTGGCGTTAGGAATTGTGTATATAAAGCCAACCTGCCCCATTAAACCTTCAGACTTCTTCACCCTCAATACTGAGTTCTGTCTCTTATTGTAGGGCACTGCTATATCACTACAAGGGTATACTCAGTATACTCCCTTGGATAATCACTAGCTCTTGTAAGAGCTGTTCCTGATATGCTCTCCTGGTGGAGAGGTCTTTCCCACACGGTCGATCCTGGATGTCCAGGGTGGGAGGAAGAAGGCAAGATTCCAGTTAAGATACGGCGATTGTGGAGGCTGTGGTGCTGCTGGTGTCCAATGTGGTGCTTATGGTCCATGGTGAACACTAGGAAGCATCCATTGATGGAGGTACCCAGTCGGGGTGCCAGGTGATCCGTTACAGCTGCTCCTGTCTATCTCGGTCCACCTGAAGCTTATTGCTAATTAGCTAATTAGACAGGTATAAAACACTGCCTCTCTCTGAGGGCAGTGTCAGTTCATTGACTCTGGTTCCTGTAATTGAGTATCTTGATCCAGTGTTCTCCTGACCTTATCTCCTCATTTATTCTGACCTCTGATAGCTGGGAGGAGTGACCAGGGCAGTCACTTCCTCCCAGCAGTGATCTCATTGCAGGGGGCCCGGTCGCGTTGTTAAAGCACCAACCGGGCCCCCTGGAAATTCATACCCATCGGATGGCCCTAACAGCATGGGCCACCCGACGGGCCCCTTCATGTGTGGCCCGGCCTGCGTGGCCAAACATGGCCCCCTGGAGTGACAGGCCCAGTCGCAGCTGCGATCCCTGTAACCCCTATATGTACACCACTGGGCTCGCACACTGCTAGCTTTTGGTGAGCCATGCACCAAATGTTCTGATCAGGCGCACGGCCCAAACAGTATTAAGAACACTGCTCGCATCATGGGCACGCATCCATGGAGGTTCGAGTATTCGAACGGGAGTCAAACGGCATTCGGTAAGAAGATGCCCCAGAATAAGAGACATACACAGACTATATCCACAAACTGCTTTGTTCGGTAAGTCAAATATTATTTCAAATCCTCCAAGTAGACCGGCCGCACAGCCTGATTCTCTGGAACTATTTTGGGCATGAAACCATAGGTGCGGTCGGTCAAAATGGGACTTCCATAGAATTCCTGAACCCCTGAACTGATCATGGTGCTTTTTTGGATATGTTGGCCACATAGATCAGGGCTATCAGGGTATGTAACATTTGTGGGGATATTATGTGTTTTTGGGGTACGTTTGGGGTTTTGAAAAGGTTTTTTCTGCCTGGAGATAATTGGGTTAATGCAGTATCTGTTCCAATTATCTCCCAGACAGAGGGGAGGGATTGTATGTTTGTTATGGGAGTGTCACACATTTAATTACTGTTCTGATGGGTGTGTAAGCTTTGCGACCCTGCCCCAACAAGGTCCATGTGGGCGTACACCTTGCTTGGGGACTTGCATAAAAGGCCAGTGTGGCACCATTCAATTTTCTCCCCAGCCTCTTTTTGTGTCTTTCTCCTGCCGTTCTGTGTGCCTCTTTGCCACACCATCCCTTCTGTGTGCCTCTTCCACCCACAAATCAGTGTCTCTCCCCCTTATAAGCCCTCGGTTTGCCTCTTCCACCCTCTCCCTATCCGCCCTCTGTGTGAGGTAAGCAAGGTCGCTGCGAGCGGTGCGGGGGCAGAGGACCTGACATCTAGGTTATCAAAATGCAGTCTCTATATCATGTTTACCAGCCACATAGAGTTCATACCAACCTAGATTCCACCAAAACAAATTACCCCAATGGGTACACTATGCAGAATATGCATATGTTAAATATTAAAATCCACCTGGTGTATTATCAACACACTGGGAGTATAGAATATCTTTCATGCTTCCAGGAAAGCTATATTCACTTGGTCAGATAATTGGACACATATAGCCACCATAATATTATTATTATGTTCAATGAGTCAAATAAAAAAGAGAAGACATTAAAACATAACAAGCACAGTTAAAAAAATAAATAAATAGCATTCACTCATAAGTAAAAATACACATGAAATAGCGCACTAAGGTCTTGAGAAAGTCCTGTGACACAATTTTGCCTGCATTGTTTGGTGTGCCGAGCATCCAGCAAGAAGCCTCGGTCTGTTGCGAGGTGTCTGACCGCGGCACTATTTCTACAGCACACCCCTTCCATGATCACCTTTAGAGACTCAACGGGAGTTTATTAATTATCTGCCTACATGTTGCACAGTGCACTGTGAGACTTTGCTTTTTTTTGAGCTATCATGTATTTGTCATCTTCCCACGTCATACCCTCAGCTGGGGTTTTATTATGCTCAGTGCTCCTCTTTATATATATATATTGTAACACACCACCTCTTTCTCAGGTAGGATTTTGTCACAGATCTTGTAACCACAGCCTTCTAGGGTAATGAAAGTCCAGGACACGTCCAGCTCAGTTTTCAGATTTATTCGATGAAATATATATACAGGTGTTTCAAAAATGAAAAATAAACAAAACAAAAGTCCTTGCTCCTGTTTGAGCACTTACTATACACAGCAAATCCCTATCTGGAATTGGGTGGCTTTCTCACTTGCCAATTTACAAATAGTATACCTGCAAGACACCATTCCTCCTCACCCTGCAGCATGCTGATCCCTTCTTTTTAAAAGCCTGCTAGCTAATTGATCAGATACAGGTGAGGTGCAATTAGGCATAAGTGAAACTACTAAGCAAAATAAATGTTCTGATCCGACTTAGCAGCTGGTGCTATTGGAGCACTGGCCCACCCTGCTCTCCAAGTTCTCCGCCCCAGGGACCCATACCGTGGTTTGCAGAGTACCAGTGATGCATCTTGCAAAGCTAACATCTCTCCCTGGGACATTTAACTCTCAAACCTCAGGCTGCTGTTCAGTAAATCAGGCCTAATGTATATGCCATCAACTACCAAACCACATTTTCTCTCATAATATATATATTTTATCAGCATGTTTGTTGTACATTTGATTTTTATATATCTCTCTCATTCCTAAAGGGTTACACATACAGTATTCACCATTGTTTGCTACCAGAGTTTTAGATCACCTATTTTTCTGTAAGAAGGTTACACCGAGATCTGCAACATTACTTATTCCACCCTTTCTGTGCCTTTCCTAAACTTTCCATATTGGGCTGCAACATTTTCTGTTATTTTTTTTTTTTTTATCCATTCATTTATTATTTTCGGAGCG